CTGCATATGCATAGATTGTATCATTTTATCATGTGTGCATATGTATGGAGTGTACCATGTGTCTGTGTTTTAGTATAAAATGTATCATGTGTGCATATGTATTGATTGTATCATTTTATCATGTGTGCTTATGTATAGAGTGTATCATGGTGCTGCGTATATGTATAGAATGTATCAAGTGTGTATATGTGTAGATATGTATTGTGTGCATATGTATAGAGTTTATAAAGTGTGCATATGTAAAGAGTGTATCATGTGCATGTTTATCAGCTTCCAGTAGCTTTAGTAATGTGTTTCACCTTTCATGCCAGAGACCTGGGTTCTATCCCAGCTCCTGCTATGAGAATATTATGTCTGTGTATATGTATAGAATGAGTAAGCTGTGCATAAGTATAGAGTGTATGATGTGTGTGTGTGTGTATATGTATAGAATGAGTATGCTGTGTATGTGTATACTGTGTGCATTTGTATGGAGTGTATCATTTGTGTAGGTATAAAATGTTTCATGTGTGCATATGTATAAATTGTATCATTTTATCATGTGTGCGTATGTATGGAGTGTATCATGTGTCTGTGTGTGTATAGAATGTATCATGTGTGCATATGTATGTTGTGTCATGTGTCTGTGTTTTTGTATAAAATGTATGACGTGTGCATATGTATATATTGTATCATTTTGTCATGTGCGCATATGAATGGAGTGTATCACGTGTTTGTGCATATGTATATATTGTATCATGTGTGCATATATATAGAGTAAAAGTTGTCAGAAAAAAGTTGTCAGAAAAATAATAAGTAAAATACTGATACCAGAAAAATCTACTTAATCTACTTACAGTAAAGTAACAAAGTATTTATACTTAACAACTCTGGCTGTGTTTTATTCTGAGGTCAAACGGATCATCCTCACAGAGCACTGCCATGGGCACAAGCAATCATCTGTTTCATCCAAAAGCAATTCTAATTTGCAATGAGAAAATCAAAATGAAGCAAGATAACCTTTAGTGTGGAAGAGATCTCAGCATGCGTGCTAATCACATACGTTCTTTTTTTTGCTTGTGGCATGATGCCCACCTTGTGTTTTTCTGCCGGCAATGAAATGAATTCCTAGCAATCACTCATGTGCATTAATAATCCAACGGAACAATCAGAACTGCACAATAGACTCATGCTAACACCTACCAGCATTATGCTCAGAAATGGGTTGATTGAGAAGGCAGATATCAGATGGCTTGGTTCACAAAAGCCCATACAAATCTCATCTTGCATGGCCGATAAACCCAAGACAGCTGTATAGTGTCTATTAGAGGCATCACCAAAAAGATTCACAACTCTGTTTATCCACATGATTTGCTGCTTTTGCAATAGAGCTTTTATAATATCTGCTTCTCGGTTTGTCCTGGCAGAGATAATTTTGTGGAATGTACAAGATGAAAAGGGAGGTAAATCAGACAACATCTGATATTTATTCTCTTAGCAAATGAAGGGATATTTGGAACTACCACAAAAATAAAGACATATTAATGACTAACTAACTAACTACCTTACTATTTTTTTTTTTAAATGAGGCTAATGAGATTGGTGAGTGCAATCTGCATGTGCTGCCACTCCTGCAATTTGGGTGTATACAATATCATACAATATAAGGTGCCCCTTTAAGATATCTCTGGCTTATCGCTGAGGAACCAAGTACTGCTTAAAATGCAACTGGTGATTCAGCTTTTGTGGCAACGTACAGAATCCATCCTATCTTTCAAGGAACGAAGGTTACATCTGAGTCCTTGTGACATACACATACAGTATATAGGCTTGCCCTAACAAAGGGGTGCCCTACAAATTAATAAATTATTTGACTGGGGAAGACATATGTTGACAAAATGAAGGGGAAACTCTCCATGGCTGACCGACATATATGGGGTTGCAAGGTGGGAACCACACAAAACAGGCACCAAACTCCAAAATTCCCGTTAACCAAGTAAGTACATTTGACAAATATTTGCTCTGCTGAATCAGGTGTTGTGGACCTTAGAAAAGTTTAGAGGATTCGTTAATATGGGTTTAGCGGCAAAGTGATAAACGCACACTGAACTCTGGGCTAGAGAGATTGGCGCAGCAAATGTTTTTGACACTTATCTCAATTCCTCCTGATTGGCCAGTGTTACCCAGGAAGAACCTGTCTCTACTCACAAATTGTGAATCTCACAAATGTGTTGAGTGTTACCCAGCCTGCAGCTCTACAAATGTCTGTAAGTGAGTTGCCACTAGTGGGCAAGAATACACAACACAACAAAGGACAAGTAGACAAAGGGAATGACATTCAAAATCCAGTGAGCCAACCTCTGGGACAGTTTTTTTTCCCTCTCTAAAACAAATTAAGAATTGCGCAGAACATGATGTTCTGCATGCAGTAATGTGCACTGCATGGATAAGGTACAATACCAAGGGTCTGCCTCCTCCCAATGCAGTGCCTGCAGGTTCAAAACCTAGTCTAAAGTAGTTGGTAGGAAGCTTTGGCTCATAGCTGAGTCTCAGAAGTATGTGAGAGTTGCCCAGCATCAATTCTAGGCACTATTTGTTTACAAATATGGAACCAGGTTCTCCAATTCTCATAATTGATATAAGCATGACCAACATTACTGTCTAAAGTGACAGAATCTTATGGTTACTGAGACAAGCAGCTGAAAATAATCTCTCCGTAGTCCTGGTGGGCATACTAAGGGGGCATGAGAGGCACTAGCACCTCAGAGCATTTGAATGACCAAGTCATGCCTCCTGAGAATAATGGTGATCGGAGATGGCAGCAATGTAAACATTCCCTGTGAATTTTGACAACCTAGACTTCAAATTATCATGAAAAAAGAACAACACTACAGTGATCGGGCAAGTTCAAGATTTTCTTGCAATGTCAACAGACATACTCCACTTCAGGGCTTATGTGTGCCTCATAGAGGGGGCTCTAACCCAACGGATAGTGTTAAGCATCAGATAATTTTGTTTGGGAGCCCAGGTCTCTGCGTTGCCCAGTAATGCAACCAACAAGACCTGCTCCACGTCCTCCCTGACTTTGCACTGGGTCTGTGCGAGAAGACTCACTGGGAGAAACATAATTGTGCAGCTTCAGGGCCAGCTGTGAGTCAATGCATTCATGCCATAAAGGCAATTAAACAACAATTATGTGGATTTGGGAGAAGCATACAGGTTGACCCATGCCTCTCTAAAATGCATCCTTATCAGCTGGGCCTTGTCAGGATGAAGTTGCAGGTCAAAACTTTAATTCAATCCAGAAGATGGATACATTCAAGAATGTGCTTCTGTGCGAGCAAAAGATTGCAATAATAATAATAAAAAAAAGAATATAACGACTATAACCCACTACTCTTAAAGGGTGCTGTGAAGAACAGGATGCTAGCCTGCACTTCATCTCTGCATAAAGGACAGATTTGATTGCATTACCTGCAGTGAGCTTTATGCAACTGGTAAGCCAATATTGAGGCTGCATTAGTGGAGCAGGTGTAGTGATAGCAGGGAGCAACTATTCGGCCATAGTTGATAAGTTCCATTCACTAGACTGCTCACTCACTCCTGAAAAGGAGGGAGCCTACCTTTTTTGCCCCATATAGACCATACCGCTGTTCCAGCTAATGGGCGGGGAGACATGTAGATCTCCAGCTCAAATGTGGTGGCAATGAAAACAAGACTCACAGGCACAACCATCCCAGAAGATAAAAGTGCCCTGACCTCTTAGCACACCCCATTGAAGCTTGAACAGGAGCACACTGGAGATTAGTGGGGGGTGAGCCTGCAGGATATGTCTTGGTGTAATCCTAAAATCTTCCAGACTATTAACCTTTTTATTTCCGGGGGAACAGCAAAAAAATGTGCACACTTGTCACAGCATAAGCTGCAATGATTCAGGCCAGTCAGACATGCAGCACCAAAATTGCGACCATCATTAAGATGCAGGAAACCACCAAATTTAGGAAATCACCATTGGCAAAACATCTTGAAAAAGACACATGTTTACTAGCTATGTACCACTGGGAATTCTCTCTACTTCTCACAGGAACACAGCTTGCAGAGAGTTATGTTTGCTCTGAAGCAAAATTGTGATGTGGCATCTCACAGGTGCTCCTTATATACCTCTAACTGCAGGAGTGGCTGCACATGCAAATTGCACTCACGAATTTCAAAGCCATTTTAATGGCCCATTTTTTTCTTTAATGTTGTCTCCAACAACTTGTTGTAGATGTCATATGCTTTCATGTCACATAGCTTTGAATATACCTCAAAACTGTTATCCCAAACTAGGGAACTGATAATTAATTCAAATATTAAACTAAGTAAAATTAAAATAAAAAAAAAATGATTTTCAACAAAACTATCAGAACATGAAAATGGATTGTCAAAATATTAAGGTTATATGCTGGTAACTGGTAAGAATCAAAAAAAAAAAAAAAACATTGCAAATTAACAAACTTGAGGATTTGAACAATTACACTAAATGGCAATCAATAAAAAGTGATTATTTATTTTATTAATTCAGATTATTTTTATTTTTATTAATTATTTTCTTTTTATCTTAGTCCCTTTATTAATCTGGGGTACCCACAGCAGAACGAACCGCCAACTTATCCAGCATATGTTTTATGCAGCTGATGCCCTTGCAGCTACAACCCATTACTAGGAAACATCCATACACACTCATTGACACACATACACTACAAACATTTTAGCTTCCCAATTCACCTGTACCGCATGTCTTTGAACTTGTGGGAGAAACCAGAGCACCCGGAGGAAACCCACGCCATCACGGGGAGAACATGCAAACTGCACACAAAAATGCCTGTTGACCCAGCCGAGGCTCGAACCAGCAGCCTTCTTGTTGTGAGGCGACAGCGCTACCCACTGCGCCACCGCATCACCCTATTACTATTATACTTGTTCATTTTTTTTTTCAAACCGTAACAAGCTAAAAAAAAGCAGACAAACTTTTTTTTTCACAGATTTATTTTATTTTATTTGTCCAAAACAAAAGAGCTGTCTATATGTTAGCAATGGCTGTCCTCCTTTGTACACTTCGCTTTAACTAATAATTTGTAATTGTTATGTTTGACAATATAGCACTTGCTTGACACAGAATGAAACAAAAAGAAACATGACTTTTTTTTTCTTTTTCTTTTTTTTAACAGCTGACAGCATAAATGCAAATCCAAAGGAGTATGTGGCACACCGGGTCTCTCTTGACTTTTACTCTATACAAGTTTTCAAACAATCACTATTCACAGCACATGTAATGTAAATGCTGGACTATCAGACCCACCAATATATGTATATATTTTAGGTATCATTTTCAAAGGATGTGCCTGTGGACCTCACATTTAGATTTTTTTTTCTTCTTAACACACAATCATTCTCAAAAGGTCTGTACAAAAAATGTGCAAACAAAATTATGTGCACACAAGTCATTTGAACAGTGCTAGAGAAGAGTCTCAGACACAGGGAAATGTTAGACAATAATTACTGATATTACCTCCATATATGTCAATAGTCATGATAAACAGAGAAACACGATGCCAACACTTATCGGTTAGTTAAAAAAGATGGTAGTGTAAGTGATGTGTACGCTGATTCTGGTGTATGATATACTGTATGTTAACACATTTTGAACTTTTTTTAGGTAACATTCAAGACTGTACAAATAGTATAACACCCTACCCCCTGGGTTCTTGTTGTATATATGCATGTGTATATCACATTTGGGTCATGAGCCCAGAAAATTTCCCCCCCAAAAAAGTAAATTGATGCAGTGATTTCACAACCCAATGGTGCTCACCTTTGAAATGCATAACTCGATTTTGATGATTACCTAACAGCTGTATGAACATCTGCATCTAATCTTTCCATACATGGAAGCTGTCATTTATCGGTGCCTTTGTAAAGGGGCCAAAAAAGAAAACAAGAAGAAAAAGGAGAGAATAATCCCACTCAAGTGTATATTCCATACAACTTTTTTTTCCTTTTTTTCTAACAAGCAAATACAAATGTGGGATATTTCAAAGGGACTTTGCATTCCACCAAAGTTAGGTTGAAGTCTATAATTGCAAGTAATAAAAAAGACGGCATCTATCCTGAGGTTTTTACAAACAAGAAAAACAAAAATACAGTAGTACAGGTAAACAGCCTAAATAAAAAGAGATGTCTGGAAGTTACACAAAATCATACATAAATCCAAAGACATTATTTTCGTTTAAATTTCTTTTGTCATTGTTACAGACTGCCTACATGCCAACTTTTCCTTCATGACTTTTTGTCAATTGTCTATATGTGTGATGCTAACCTTTTAAAGGGCACCTATTTTGAAGTAGGTATCGTTGCAGCCCGGAGACCTCCAAGTCTGTACACCGCAAGTGGGTGACCTCCAAATGTTAGGGACTTAAACCACAAGTAGGCTGGGTTACGGTGGTGTAGGTGGAGCAGATATTTATAAAACAGACCAGGTTACTGTGAGGTTGGGTTTAGGGTTGGGGTAGGTGTAGGTGTAGGCGTTAATACAACATTAATGGTTACTGTGAGGTTGGGTTTATGGTTGGAGTAGGCTCCCACTAGGAGCTCGAAGGCCTACCCACTTGGAGCTGATCTCCGTTTATACCCTTTTCCCTATTTTACCCCTTTTTCAAAATTTAAAATGTTTTTTGTGTCTCCAGAATGTGCCTGTAAAATTTCAGCTCAAAACAGCCATCAGATTATTTAATATAGCTTTTAGAATATTGGAATTTTCTGCTCTGAACACATTATAGCTGTTTTTGTTGCCTGTGCCTTTAATGTGAGTTCTCCCCACCTACCGTTTGAACGTGCCTGTCAGAGTGTGCCTCAATCTCTGTCTGTGTAAGACAAATGGCACAATGCCAGACATGAAGGAAGCAGATCTCATATAACGTTTGAGAAATACTACTGTAAAAACTTTCCCAATGATTATTTGATGTATTTGCTGTGGAGTTAATTAAAGCCTTTTTGCAATAATGAGTCACACAGACTGCCGTTACAAAGTTCATGAACTTGTTTAACTTTGCATTGTTTTTGCATGGCAAATGTGACAGGATAGACATTAATATTCCTGCAGTATGGATATCCGTTATGATAATGTACAAGATAAACCTCATTTAATGTTTACAAATTTAGATTGAAGAGTCTTATTTATTAACTGTACTGACATGTGGCGTAAAGTACAGATGGTAAAATGGCTGTAATTCATTACAAACATGCACTTTTAAAAAACTTTTTAAACTTATAAAACTCATTCTTGATCAAATTTGATGATGACTGATAATCACAGAGAGCTGAACAGATCTTTTAATCCCGGTTGCTTTGTGCAAGTCCTGCAAGAGATATGTTAATGCTCAGCTGTCAATAAATTCGATGGGTGGGAAAACTGCACTCTTATGTCACGTTGTGGTGGGCCTGGAAATAGAAGGGATTTGGAACCTATTTTAATGTCAGGGATTTAAATAAAGAGACTTATTGTGTTTATATTACTCTGATATGACTGTGGACATACTATACCTACACACAGTACTGTCCAAACAGCCTACAAAAGATGATTTTCATCATAGGTGCCCTTTAAGATGTATGTTCTTCCAAAATTTGAGTATTTTATATATATTTTTTTTCTTAGCAAAACTTTATTGGCATGTCATTACATTATGAAGCATGTAACAGTGTCTTTAGAAAAGTACAGGAAATCAGATCATAAAAATTTGCAATGATTAATAAAAATGATCTACGAAATGCTTTAATTTGAACTTATACATCCTGTTGTCTTATACTTCTATTTATTTTTGCATCATGCAGTTATTTTGCGTTTTACATATAATACAATACCAACATATTTTTGTCTACACAACAATATCAGTGTCGCTTGTGATATACTGTAACTTCAGTCAGCCCTGCTGTTCAAATAAAAGTAGAAACATATTTTACAAATTAATTTTAGTCTTTTCTGTCATCTCTTGTGATCATGGCCCAAGAAGCACTGCATGTCATTATTTTTTTTTTTTGTTCTAGATTAAAGTGACACTGTACAGTGGCTGTGGTTCCACTGCGTAAAGCACAGTAAAAAAACTCACCCTTTAGCTCTTCAAAAAAAAAAAAAAAAGAAAATACTAGAAAAATAATGAAATAATTTACTAAATGGCACACACCACAAAAATAACTTACAAATAGGGCATGATAGATGACTAAATTCTGCATCTTTAGAAAATAAGAATATAAACAAATGGTAATATTTTTTTTAAAAATGGGAAAATTTGTGTGAAATCAATTTTAATTTGACATGTTTAAGCACAGTTTATATTAAATATAGACCAAAGTGTAGCAAAGGGAAAATAAACAGGGGTCTTCACTCCTCCTCTGTGCATCCAAGTAACTCCGCACGCAAAGTGATTCTGCCATACCATGACCAGGGAAGGATCCGAACGAATCTGGCATAGATGGGAGGATCTATCACATTCTTTCTGTGGGTGTCATTATCAAAATTTCCTTGAAAGACCTGTTGAAAAAACAATAAAAATTACAATTAATTACACTATATACTGTTTACATGAAACATGATTACATATTTCAATTTCCCCACATAATATATACAGTGCATCACAAATGACCAGTTCAAGATAGGGTGAACTCAGACTAGGCTATCCGAATCTTGCCCGGGCACATTTCCCAGTTTTTTTGATAAGTGTGAGTGCCTCGAATCAGAAGAGGTGTGCCAGAGCGCAGTTCAGTTGGGCTTTGGCGATGTACACTTGTAGTGTGAGTGCAAATCACGCATGAGCACAAAACTGAAGACATAATGTCACTTTTCAACTGGATTTATAAATCATCCTTACTTTTCAATGAACATTTTATCATAGTCATAGTTTATCAAAGATGCAAACCCCGGCCACGATGACTTTCATGGACTTTTCGAGCGTCAAAAATAGTGGATCTATTCAGCAAAAGACTTGACTGCGTCATTGCATTCCAAACGACTTAAAATAATACAAAACAATATAACTAAAGCAATCTCCATTCTACTGAGTGACAGCACTTTTCTTTAAAACTGAACCGTCCAGGGGCGTAGATTTAGTGTGAATGGAGGGGACGGTCCCCATCAATAATTTAATTCACTTTAAAAAAAATAAAATTGTGCTGTCAATATTAACCTAGACATGCAGAAAAGATTAAATCACGTTCTCTCCAGGAGTCGTACCACCCCCAAACATATATGAACAATGTGATTGGCTGTGCTTTTCCCTGCTGTCATGTGAGAGGCCGTAGCGTTCAGATACAAGGCAGCACCAAAACAACTGTGCAGGGGAGTTTTCCGTGCAAGAACAAGACATGTGATGTGACACCAAAGACTGTACTGTAAAAGTGACAAGTGACACAGACAAGTGAGGATGGTGGCAGCAAAAAAGTGGACAAAGAATTGGCCACACTTTATTTTAATGGTCCATTTATTTAATTTAATTTATGTTGCATTTACATGCCAATTAATTTTCATTAGATTTTAAGTAGACTGTTAGGTTGGGGTTAGTGTTATGGTTAGCAATGTTTCTTATAATCAGTTAAATGTCTGTTGAAGGACTGTTAAATGTCAGTATCAGAATCAGTGTCAGAATCAACACATTAAGCAGATAATCTAATAAAATTCAACTGGACTATCAAAATAAAGTGTTACCAAAGAATCTTTTATCAATGAAAAGTGTAAGCCACAAAAACTCAAGTTTGTAACTGAACGAGTTCATCATGATAATGCCCTTAATACTTGTGTTTTTCCCCCTCTTTAATGCAGTCTATCATTATAGCAGGCTGATATATTCTGTGAATTATATGCCCTGAAAACGAACTGCAGAATAAACAGCTTAATTTAAAAGTGTAATTATGATCTCTGTCAGTTCTCCTAATCTCTTAGAGTAGCATGTCCAATTTAGTTTGAAACTATTTGTCAGAAAAACTACAGCCTGTGCTTCATCTTTTATTAATACCTATATATGAGACATGTTTCATTTCCACTATGGCTAAAATAAACAGAAGTCTTTATTAAGCTCTCTTTATCAGTTAATAAACATTCCTTTAACATTACAGTATTTATACATATAATAATACATAATATATATTTTAATAGCATGATTCATTTATTGATTTTCTTTTCAGAGTAGTCCCTTTATTTCTCAGGGTTCACCACAGTGGAATGAACTGCCAAATTCAGTATGTGTTTTACGCAGCAGATGCCCTTCCAGCTGCAACCAACCACTGGGAAACACCCACACACTCTTGCACACTCATACACTACAGTCGATTGACTTTATTCAATACATCTATAGCACATGTCTTTGGACTGTGGGGGAAAACAGAGCACCTGGAGGAAACCCACGCCGACATGGAGAGAAGATTCAAACTCCATACTGAAATGCCAACTTACCCAGCAAGGGCTCAAACTAGTGACCTTCTTGCTGTGAGGCGATTGTGCTACCCAATGCGCCACCATGCTGCCTTAATAGCATTAATATTATACAATTATGCTGAATTTCCCCTTGAGTCCCTTTGAAGCCACACCTACTCTTTCACGTGAATGCACAAACTGAGTGGTAGGGTTAACTGGAAGGGCTGAGGGGTAGATTTGGAATTGATTGATTGATAGATTTTTTTTTTTTCCAAGATGTTAAATTATGAGTTAAGTTTTGTATTAATGCAGCTTAAAGAATCAACAAATTAATGATTGGTAATTCACTCAAATTCTAGTTTAGAATGAGTGTTATAATCTTAAAACAAATGCAAATTAAGACATAAACTACATAAAATGTACATAACAAATATATATTAAGACCTCATCCTAATTCTATTTTTGTACCCCTACCCCTTCCCCTTGACCCTTGAATCAGAGTGTGAAAGAGAAGGGCTTTAAAATGTACAACTAAGAAATGGGACAGCACTACAACACCTGCACACGTCATCATATGTCAGTGTGATCTCTTGCTTCATTTGAGATCAGACGATCGCGACTGCTGTAGTTATTCCAGTTGTGCTATTTTTTTTTTTTTTTGTATTTATCTTCAGGAAATCGCTGAAGGCATATATCATGTTATCATAATGATCTAATGTGGCAATAAGATTGTAACTGTACTGCGCATTCACAGCGTGGCCATATTCATCTATGTATATACACAAAACAACATTAACATTATAGCAGACACTAAAAAAAGCTCATTCCCTGCTACTATACTTTTCTAACAGGGTATTTGAGTGTCGTCGAGTGACAGAATGTTGTTGGAGTGCTATACAAGCAGTTTTTATTTAATCTTTTTTTTTTTTTTTTTTTGCCGGTATGACGGTATAACAAAAAAGCGGTTGCGAATGTATTAAAACATAAGCTTGTTTGTTGCAAAACCTTCAATTTATGGATCTCCTGACTTCCGAGTGCAGCTATACTGCCATTGTGGCTGGTGTATTCCGGAAAATTTTCTTACCCCTTGATTTCGAGTGTGGTCCTGAAAAATCTCCATTCGAAGGGGTATTCCCTTAGCCCTACATCTTCAAGCTAAGACAATTAGGATACCGCTTTATGTGAACATGCAAAACGAGGGGTAAGAGAAAGGACTAAGGCAGGGGTGTCAAACTCAATTCCTGGAGGGCCGAAGCCCTGCACAGTTTAGTTCCAACCCTGCTCCAACAAACTTACCTGTAGGTTTCAAACAAGACTGAAGGACTCAATTAGTTTGATCAGGTGTGTTTAATTAGGATTGGAACTAAACTGTGCAGAGCTGCGGCCCTTTTGGAACTGAGTTTGCCACCTGTGGACTAAGGGGTAGAATTGGGATTGGGCCTAAATCTAGGGATGTAACAGTATCAAAATTTCAGCTGGATTTTTGCAGCTGGACCATGTGCTGAATGAGTACACTAAACTCAGTTACTCACACACTCACTTATTCAAACAGAGAGATGTTTTTGAAGAAAAATTAGCATTATGAACATTATCTGGTAAAAGCTGGGATCTCTGGGCATTTACAATGTCCCCTGCAACAGAAAACATACAATTCGGTAACAAGTCTTAAAATGCAATCTTTAGTTCTCCCTGGCAACCCAGTGGAAACCTCACATAGTTTGAAAACATTCAGTTCTGGCTTACAGATCATCAGTTCACATCTATATTCACGAATACAGCCTTTTTTAATTGCTCTTGATGAAATCAGCCTGACTTTGTATTTCCTACTGCAGATGTAAACGTTGACCTATCAATCAAACAGCCCTTATTTACAATACAGCGTCATAGAAAGGATGTGCAGTCCATGATTTATGAGCAACCTCTGAGTGTGCAGCTGATCAGTCACTGAAGGCAAACAAAGCTCAAGTATGTTCAGATTAAAGAGTTCAGAGAAGGGTAAAATTCAGAAAGCAGCAAAGAGCTTGGCTAAGAAGCGAGTCTTCATGTGGGCTTCAAAGATAAATCCTGCTAAACTCTTTGCACTGACAGCACATATTCATCAGTGCAGAGTAAACAATAAGAGCACAGAGATCCTATGTGTCTAAAAGCTGGTGTCACAAGCATTACAGGAATGTGTGACATGCAGTACTGTATTCTTGCTCTCTCTCTCTTTTCCACACTGAATCAGCGTTTCCAGATTGTACCATGGAGTGAGTGTCTTGTTTTGCTGCTCAACTCTTTTCAATGTTCTCAGAGGCAGAGCGAGGGGAAATGTCATAAAAAATTGATTAGGTAAAAGGGCAGCTCAAAACATGAACTCATTCGCTGAACTTCTCATCTGATTCCTGGTATGTTTGTAAGGAATCTCGGTGCACAGGAAAGTCTTTCAATGCCAATCTTTTCCTGCCAGTTTCACAGCATACAACGATAAGGCCTGAATATTTTGGCCAGCTGTATGTGTAGACAGATAGTATGAAATGCATTTAAGTCAAGAAGGATTTATAAGACTGCAACTTTTAGTGCAAAATATGTCTTTCATTTGTATTTCATAACCCTTATGACACTTTAGTGATGTTGGCCAAATACAGCAGCCTGTAGAGTGTGAGCCTACTTGAAGTCAATGAAAAGCATATATTTGCAGGCAGTTTTGAACATTAATAATTCTCCCAAATGGATTTTTTTTGGCACAACTTGTTCGGTGAGAGAGTTACAGTGACAGTTTTACCTCATCATTTACACTCTCTCTCTCTCTCTCTCTCTCTCTCTCTCTCTCTCTCTCCCCCCCTTCTCTCTCAAGTAATTTTAAACTGTTGTGTGTTTGCTGATCACAAAACATGTTTTCAAATACGTGGGTTGCTGTGGCCCATCGACCCATTTGAACAAATTCTATAGCACTTTTCAAAATGTCTTCTTTTGTGTTTGGCAGAAGAAGGAAACTCAAAAGTTTTGAACAAGGGAAGCCAACAGAACTAGTCAACAGACTCATTGGAAATACGTGTCTAAGCCTATAATTTAGCAACACCACACAAAAGAACAACACACATTTCATTGCAGTGTCTAAATAAATTGAACACTATTAGGCATTA